CTATTATGTACTATAATGGCGAAAGCTTGTGAGTGTGTGATTGTGTATGTTTGTTTCTTCACGTCTAAACGGTTGGAGCGATATTAATAAAAATTGGTATGGAGTTAGCTGACACCTTGGATTAACACATAGGCTACGTTTTACTGCGGGAAAATATCCCTAATAAACCGCGGTTGACACCGCGGGGCACAGCTAGTTATAGATAAATTCACAAATTATCGGACAATTATTTTTTAATTCATCATCATCTTTTATTCAGGAAAGGATCTAACATTTTATAAAATAAACATGTCCTAAGATATGGCTTGTAAATTTGGACATGGGACTAAATAACTAATAAAAACATTAATTTAGTAATAACAAATAGCCTTTTTGCTTCACGCTGCGACTTCTTTAACGTGAATTTTGATTTAGGTATTATATATAACAAACATATGTATATTTACAGCGAAGTTAATTTAAATCAATAAAATATTTTATTTTCCACTCTCCCACTGGTAAACTGTGTTTGAAACCAATATCTCGTTAAAAACATTTACACATACACTGTAAAATTAGCATATAGCTCAATTTATGTTTTTTCTAAAGAATAAACATGGATAAATGTATTTTTATACTAATAATAAAATGGATTTTAGTGGCAATCTGAAATCTGTTAAATCAGCGTAATTTTATATTCCAGACCAGTCTCACTCAGCAAAATTAGATAATTGCCCCTTGTTGCCTCGGCCGGTATGAATTAATCGCGGACCTTTTTAGGGCCAAAGTATTTTTACCCAACGGAAAAGTGCTTCGACAAGGGACGGTTCTCCCCATTTCTTTAATCCCATCAGTGTTTTATGTATAATTACGTACCATGAAATATTTTTTTTGAGTTTTGTGACGACACATAGTAATATTGTGGAGATGTCGAATTAAAGGCTTTTTCTTATATTTGTAGTAACAAAAAGTGTTTTTATTTTTTTTATTAAATTTCTATTGCAGTAATCCATATATAATTCGTCCCCACGAAGAAAGGGATATTCATGGGATAAGTTCAAGTAAGACTTATAAGTAGGTACCCACTAAAAGTTTTAGAGGACAGGTGCCACGATAGCAATCCTGCTTTGGTTAGAATACAATTAGAAACATGAAATTTATTGCCACAATTACAAAATGGACAAAAGGCGGACTTAACGCTAAAATCATTTTCTGCCAGTCAACCTTCAGGAGTACAGAAAGACACGAATGCGGCTTTAGTAAAGAAGTAATTAACTAATATAAACATGCCATAATGGAAAGTACTTATCTTATACATAATCTATACTTATAATAAATCTGTAGAGAGGTCAATTCTGTACATGAAATATTTTTTCAAAATTACTATCAGGGGGTGATTAGTGATCGATACTGATGCCAAACATGCAATCAGTAAATTTTTTGTCTGTCTGTCTGTCTGTCTGTGTGTATGTTTCTTATAGAAACAAAAACTACTCGACGGATTTTAACAAAACTTGGTACAATTATTTTTCATACTCCAGGGGGCCATTCGCCTAACGGAAATGCTTTGGAAAACGCTAACGCTTACTATTTTATTTTGTTATTTCTAGTCGCCTGAGGTTTTCAAATGCCTCGCGCTCTTTTTATCTTTTGCATTGGTAATAACAATATTAAAAAAAATGAGCGTGAGGTATTTGAAAACCTTCGGTGGTCAGAAATAACAAAATAAAATCGAAAGCGTTAGCGTTTCGCAAAACATTTCCGTTAGGCGAATGGCCCCCTGGGCAGGTTATAGTATACTTTTCATCACGCTACAATTAATAAGAGCAGAGTAGTGAAGGGAAATGTTGGGAAAACGGGAGAAGTTACTCCATTTTTTAAGCTTCCGTCGCGTGTGTAGCCTTAATGGTTAAAGTTACATAGAAATCATGTATGACGAAAATATTCTAAATAAAATTATCTAAAAAATATCTCGCAACAGCATATGTCTATCTTTTATGGTTGTCTCACAATAACACGTGAAACTCCTGATAGCTTAGCAGTTCGGAGCATTCTGATTATATTTGTTTACTCTTACGTTTATAATACTCACTCATCCCTTATTTAAAAAAGTTAACATTATTACCTATTCAATGAAAAAAGAATCATAAAAATCGGTATAGAAACACCAAACTTATACATGAAATAAGCCATCGCGCCGTCGCACGTGAATACTGAATCATGCTATAAGGATATTTTTGTGTAACGGTTGCCGCGCTCGATACAATACAAATTTACACAATATGATATAAAAAGGCGGGAGGTCCGAGAGCGAGCTAGGAGCACTCTTCTAGGTGTGTATTCAATTTTTGGCTGTTGATGCGTTCCGAGCGTTCGAACTTATTGACAGACAATATAATTGATATTGAGAAACCGTGCTTATCAGCGCGACTTTTAGTCTTTAAATAGTTTATTTGAATTTCTTTTGCTGTTATTTTGTAAAATAGGTATTAGTTGTTTTGGTAGTGTTTAAATATTCGTTCAAATTAAAAATTATTAAGCGTAGCGTACTTTTAATAATTAAAGTAGTTAGGTATAATAAGAATGTCTTAGTGTATAATACAAGCCTGAGAACAAAAACTATAGTCTACACTTCAGCTCTACGAAGCGAAGCGAGGGCGGGCCACTAGTAACTAAATATACATGAGCACAAGACATATAAATATATATACACACACACACGCACACACACACACACACACACAGTTATATATATAAATATATATATACTAGCAAACCTGTGAACCAATTGTTCACCAAAAAAAAAAAGTATTTAATTAATTGAGAACTTCGGAGATTTTGTGTGGTTTCGTTTGAAATAGAAATCACGTGATTTCTCGAAAACTGGAAGTGCTACGTTACTCACATCCGGTTTGTAGTCTTATCAGACTATTCTTAACTTATAACTTAAACATTCTCTATATCTATCTCTTACGGTTTGGCCGCTGAAACAGCACCACGGACGGACGGACGGACTTGTCTGATAGATAAGAGATACACACACATACAATACACATATACATATGTATAATATATATCGATGATGAGACTGAAATTATATTATTATATAAGAGAGGTAGGGCATAGCAGATTCCAAGCTCGAATTGGAGTGTCAATTCTGGAGAAGTAACCTGCACCTTGCATAAGACGACTGTAAAATAACACTGCCTTTTCGTAGTGTTGTATTTCTGTAGGTGAGTAAGGTTCCACGGGTTCTACCCGGGCTCTACGGGGTAGGTAGGGGATTGGTCCAGGGTAGGATACGAGAGTGATATTTTTGGTATCGCAACCGTCTATAAGCTATGGTGGCCGCTTACCATCAGGAGAGCCATGAGCTTGTTTGCCACTCTTTTAACATAAAAAAATTAATATTTGTTTCTGAGACCGATGTTATTTGCCGCCGTGTACTTACATGTATGAAATTGCTATTTTTGTTAGAGCAAATTTACACTTATATGTTACTTTTAATAGTAGAAGATTCGGAACCAGACTTTGTTTACCATCTAACAAGACATGGCTTAAGAATAATAGTGTACTTTGTATGGCACCTCAGGTCTATAATAAAATTCCACTTGAAATTAGAAAAGCTGAAAGCTCCAATATATTTTGTTCGAAATTAAAGAAAGTCGTATTATAGTATTAAGGAATTTTTAGATAACAAATCTTTGTAAATGGGTGTACCTATTTGTTTATTGTGGCATGCACATTATTCCATATTTCATCACAAGGTGAAATATGGAATAAGCTTCTAACGTATTATAAATTAACACCTTTGTATCACCTGTATTTGCAAATATATAATTGATTGATTATTTTTCATACAAAGTAAAATAGACCGTAGAAGCATTTATCAATAGCATAAAAAGTAATCTTCAGAAAAGGTTTATGTTGATTGGTAAAACCACAGAACTTATAATTAAAAGTTCTGTTATTATAAGTATATAAGTTCATTGTAAGTTATATAAGGTCTTATAATTATAAGTTCTGTGTGTAAAACAAAGGATGTTGTAACTACCGAGGGAGGAGAATGGCAGCCATCTCAAGCAACAACAGAATCAACTTTATCGTAATAACAAAATTAGGAATTGCAATAAACTTCATATGAGGAGTGAAACAGCTTTGGTGCTACATCACACTAAAGGGTCCAACAATCCATTTCCGTCCATACTACGAAGGAAATAGGCCAATAGCAGATGAGAGGGCTATAAATAAAGCAGTGTCAAGGTGATACGTTGGCCGCGCTTTCACTCTCAATCGTTCACGACCACGTTAAGCTATTAATACTATATACAGGCTTTAAACAAATTTCATAAATAGTCAAGTATAATTTTTTATATAGGTACTTTGCTGCTTTGTCTATAATCGGACGGAAAGTTCAGTCACGAAAGCCACTAAGAACTATTTTTACTTAAAGATGTGGCACGTGGACTAGCGAAATCTTATGACTACGGTGGGGGTTTTGTTACCTTTTTCATCAACTCTATCCTCACAGACTTTTAAAGATGTAACTTCCATATACTGTAATCATTCATTTCTTGCTAATCAATGCTCTTAAGCCTTAGATTAAAACAACAAGGGAAGATAGGGAACTCGCGGCTCAAAAGTGATCCGCTTAAATTGTGGTGCATGATCAAAATTCGCTTTAGTCACAATTGGACATTCAAACTCTTCGATGCTTTTATAAAGAACACAAATAGTTCAAATTCGAATAACAAATGCCTCAGCAACAATTTTCATTTGTAAAATTGTAAAAACATTTTTTTTTCTCAAAAATCAGAAAAGGATAACTATACATCTGAGTCGTGCGGATTCGGACACGGACTCGCTGTTTCGCTCGCGCTGTGTTGAAGCGTACAGTTCTGTCTCGCTCGCTCAATTGAATGTTTACTTAAAGACGTGTGCGTGTGCGTGTGTGAGAATTGCTTATGTAGTTGAGTCGGAGCATATTTTATTTGATGCTAGTGTGGTATGTTGGGTGATGGCGGCAGGTTATAATAAATACAAAGACGTAGATAGGTTGGTGTCCATTTATTGAAGAAGGCTTAATGGTACAAAACATACTTATTTATAATATTAGTGCACTACGTAGTTACACACACACACACTTATAAAATATAACACACAATATTATTACAAAACATCAGCATTTCACGTGGCCTACTTTCGTGTCATTCAATGTTGCGTTGTATTATTAATACATATTTATTAAATTATTTTCATACTATCACACGCCCCCCAAAAATCTCCATTACACCCCTCTCCTCAAAAAAGAAAAAAAAAAGTGTTACATTTTTTTTTGAACCACATACATTCAGCTAAATATTATCATTATAAAGTTTCGTATTATTCTTATGTACTACGTACTCTCTATTATTTTTTAATATCTTTACATTAGGTGACAATTCCTCTATTACTTCATAAGGGCCGTTATACACTCTATCTAACTTATCTCTTATTTGATTTTTTACCAAAATTAAATCTCCTTTTTTATATGTTATCGGGTAACTATTTTTATCAAATGTAGTTTTTCTACATAATTTATTAGTTAATAAATTTTTTCGCGCATCACACAGTGCTCTTTGTAGTCTATGTCGAAGTTCCTTAGGATAGTCATCATAGTTATATAAGGGAGTTACAGAGTCACTTAAGTTACTAGGTAAAATACAATTTTTTCCAAACACTAGCTCGTAGGGAGTATATTTTGTTTGCGTGTGTACCGAGGTGTTGAATGAGAAACACCAGTACGGAACCCAACTACTCCAATTGCTTTTGTGACTCTCACATTGTATTCTTAGAAAAGTGCCGAGATGTTTGTGAGTATTTTCTAACGATCCCATAGTTTCATGGTGATATGCAGTGGACTGTAATTTTTTAATACCTAATAAGCTACATATTTCGGTCATAATTTCGTTAAGAAATTCTGTTCCCTGGTCTGTAATTATTTCTTTTGGGATTCCATATCTAAGGATAAAATTATTTACAAAAGCTCTCGCTACTGATTCGGCGTCTTCGCGCTGCAAGGGATACGCTTCAACGAACTTTGTTAGGTCGCACTGTAGAGTTAGTATGTACCTATGATTGTAATCGTCAACTTGTAAAGGTCCCATTATATCTAAACTAATTCTTTCGAAAGACGAATTAGGGGTAGTCGTTAATGACATAGGTTCCTTAATGTATCTATTGGTGTATTTATTTATTTGACAAAGCTTACATTTATTGACATAATTAACGACATCCTTTGTAATGCCTGGCCAAAAATAGTATTTTTTAATATTGTTTAGCATTCTATTTATCCCAGCATGCCCACTGGTGGGCAACAAGTGGAAGTCATTTAATATAACTATCTTTTCGTCCTCATTTCTGATACGCTTAACATCTTTAGTTATCAATAATCGCGGCCGACTCAACTTTATTTTTTTAATTGTACTTGCAAGTAACTTAATATGTCCTTCATATATTTTATTTTTGATAATAAGCAATTCTAAGATATTTAACTTACTACAAAAACTCTCTAAATCTCTCGCTAACGCTTCTACAGCTGATAGCGATCGAGCATTTAGATAAATTATTGACCGCTTTGGTACATATACACAATTTCCACTTGAGGACGTAAAAACTTCGTCGTTTCCGTCATATTTGACCGAGTGACTAAAACATAATTCGATAATATCCGGTGGTGGCTTGAGAATTTCCACGGCCAAGGGGTGATCAGTCCCATGACTATGCAAATTTTCAGGCTTGCTATAATTCTCTAAGTCACAGTTTTTATTACGACTATTTTTTTTTGTTTGTGCTCTAGTAAGTACTGATACTAAGTGTTCACGCATATTTTTTAAATCGTCCGATGTCACCGGGATGCGACTCAATGCGTCTGCAGCCGCGTTGTGTCGTCCTGGGACATAGCCTATCTCAAAATCATATTCCTCTAAATATAAACGAAATTTAGTTTGCCTACTGGAAGGATCTGTCATAGAAAATAAATAAATAAGAGGCTTGTGATCGGTTAGAATTTGGAATTTCCTACCATATAAATAAGGTCGAAAATGCCTCACTGCCCAAACTATGGCTAATAGCTCCAAGTCTATAATCGGATATCGCGTCTCAGCGGGCTTTAAACTTCTACTTGCGTATGCAATAACTCTATCATTCCCATTGGATAATATTGCACCTAAACCTGTTCTTGAGGCATCAGTCTGCAATTTAAAAATATTATTTTCAGAAAAGTCGGGATAATCCAAAACTGGGGGTTTTATTAAAGCAGATTTTAATTTTTTGAATGCTTCGTCACAATCAGCTGTCCAATTAAATGCAACATTCTTTTTACAAAGTCTATTTAGTGGATGTGCAATTTCAGCGAAATGTAAAATAAATCGTCTATAATAGTTAGCGAAGGCCACGAATCTTCGGACCTCGTCAACGTTAGTCGGTGTCGGATAACTTTGCAAGGTTGTTATTTTGCTTGGATCAGGAAATATGCCTTTACTTGTTATTTTATGTCCTAAGTATACTATCTCTGTTCGTAAAAATTCACATTTTAAAGGGTTTAGTTTTAAATTAACTTTTCTTAAGCGTTCTAACACAGAAATTAGGTTTTTATTATGATTTTCTATACAATTTCCTATAACGATACAATCGTCTAAATAAATAAAACATTGATTATAATTCAATCCAGACATAGCTATAGTCATCAATCGAGAAAATACGCTAGGACTAGTTTTAAGTCCCATCGGACAACGCTTCATTTGGTATATTTTATCAGCTGTGAAAGCGGTGCACTTACGTGAATCGGGATGAAGGGATAATTGGTACATTCTATCTAAATGGAAAGCAGTGTATTTTCTTGAATTTTCATTTAAATTTAATTGATAATAACTTTGGGACAAATCTAATTTTGAAAAATACATAGAATGTGATAAGGAATCTAAAATATCTGTAATATTGGGAAGTGGAAATTTATCATCTTGAATTCTATTATTTAATTGCCTATAGTCAACGACAAACCTATACTTCTTTTCATTATTTTTGTCGGTCTTTTTCGGAACAAGCAAGACGGGACTAGACCACTCCGAGGTGGATTCCTCAATAATATCGTTGTCTAACATATCCTGTATTTGTTTACGTAACTCTGGTTTTAAAGAGTGTGGTATTCTGTAGGGTTTTATATAAACAGGAGTCGCATTATCCTTTAAAGTAATTTTATGCTCCATTAAATTAGTGACTGACAGTTTATCACCTGGGAGATGAAAAACGTCCGCGTACTTAGCGCAAATAGACTCAATGCTAAGTCGTTCATCTTTGTTTAAATAACCTAGGTTAAGAAGCTCAAATAATGTTTTTACACGATTTACGGAAATTTCCCTTTCCGAAAAATTACAAACATCGAAATGATGCAAACTATGTACTTCTAAATGAGAAAAATCATAAATTAGGTCATTTTCCGTCGTATTTAATATTCTAATCGGGATAAGCCCGTTTCTAGGCCTCGACAAAACACCTGCAATAAATACTCCCTCTCTTATTTCATTCGCAAGGACGACACAATCGTCGATTATATTCGTAGGTATGAACTTAATAGTTTCACACCTCGCAGGTATGTTGTGTTTATACCTGTTATTTATACACATACTTATCGATTTAGACGACTGAGTTAGGCTTAAAATGCCTTTACCATAATCAATTAACGCTAAATATTGTTTTAAAAAGTTATCACCTATTATTCCATCTGCAGAGCATGACAGGTTCTTAAATACGTAAAATTTATGTCTAAAAGTCATACTGTTACTACTTAATTCTAAATAAATGTAACCTTCTGATATTAACCTACCGCTAACACCTCTAATAGTTAGTCTTTCGGGAACAATTTTATTTTTCAAATCACTAAATACCTTAGCTAAATATTCATACTTAATTACACATAAACTGGCACCAGTGTCTATTAATGAATGTATTATCCTATCTCCTAAACTAAAAGCTACCGTACTCGAAGTATTATAATTGAGAACTACATGCTCTGTTTTCGTTTGAGGAACGAAAAAAACTGACTCTCACTCATGGTTGAGGTTGGAGCTCGAGGCTGCCTTACCTCAGTGTCGCAGTACGTATGGTGGACACGGGAATAGCCTCGTGTACGGGGCTGATACTGCGCGCCTGGCGTTGACCAGCGCGCGCCCGCGGAGGGTACACCTCGACCTCGAGCGGAACCACGTTGCGGCACAAACGTGCGCGGCGCGCTCACATTATGCGACTGGATCGGGTTACCGTATTGAGCACGCGAGTTACTATAATAATTATTGCCAATATTTCTACCGCGGAACCCTTTATTAATAAAATGAAATGTTTTCGTGGACTTAGGGTGGTGACGAAAATTCATAACTTGTTCCCCACTGGTAGAAAGCGTTTGCTCGTCTATAGCACTACGGATTGCCTCGGGAAGAGAAAGAAATTCCTTTGATGCAATAATAATACTCAATCTAGAGTTTGTCAAACCATCGGCAAAGCGTTTTATAGCGATCTTTTCATTAATTGGTCGCAATACGTCATATTTTGAACTATCGCCATCGGCCTGTGCTAATGTCAAATTAGAGAAGATATCTTCTAGTTCATTACCGAATGCTTCTATTGACCTATTTCCCTGTTTTACATTTTGTAACCGAGACTGGAGAGCGACTGCCGATTTTTTTTGTACTAAATAATTTTTCATGTCATTGAGCAATGAATCAACTGTAGTATAGCTACCACGTAAGCGAAGTTTCGCGCTAGGAGATAATCTTGTTTTTATAACAAAATCTATAAGACAATTTTTCGATGTCTCATCAAGTTTAGAACTATACATTTCTATACCGTCGATTAATTGTTTGGTGACATGTTCCTGACCAGTCATTATGGGAAGTAAACTAATAGCCGTTTTAAAGTCAAAGGCCATTGTATCTGCCATTTTTGTAGTTTTAGAACTATCGGGATTTCTAGTTGAAAAAGTAACTAATTTATTTATTTCACTATAAATTAAATGAATATTATTTACTATAGAATTAACTTCAATAAGATCTTCGGCACTTATCTCAGAATTATTAATATTAGCTTTAATTTCACACAAAATATACTCTAGTTGCAAATAAATGACATTGGCTTCTTTTAATTTAGTTTGACCGATTTCTTTCTTTCTACGTTCAGGGCCTATTTTACTTAAATATACTTTTATTTCCTGTAACTTACTATATAATTCAACTAATTTATGAGACATAACTATCTATTACTTCTAATTTAATAAAATAACTCATAATTGAATTCTAGAAATAGCAGCTAAATTGTACCTACATATATTTTCTTCCAATTCACTTGCTGACGTCACGAGCTGCGGCGGGCGGCGTTCTTGTGGCGGTCACGTTCTGCTGACATCAAACAACGTGGCCCGTGCTGCTATTCCTGTTGACGGCCGGGACGGGGACTTCCTAATTTGATGGTCTTGCTTGCATTTCCAAGGTGCTGTGGTTGAGCTCCCTTCTCAACGAAAGAATAGCATTTCTTCGGCACTTCTTGTACAATAGGTATGCGGCAGCGACGAACAGAATGACGAATAGCGTGATGAGCAGGATCTCGGTAAGGTTCAACTTGGTCTCCGTTACTTGAGCGCTTCCACCGGCGTTTTGAGCGATGATAATTTCTTCTTTGGACTGTGAGCTACGGCACATTGTTATTGGTAATTGGCGCGATTGCTCCAAAAATAAGATTCTTCATAATAATTTTCAATCTTCAAACTTCTTCTTACTTGACGTTCAGTTTCAATATCTTCTTTCTTCAATTTATTTCTATAATTTTTCTTCCAAATTTCGCAGGGTCGCCATGTGGTATGTTGGGTGATGGCGGCAGGTTATAATAAATACAAAGACGTAGATAGGTTGGTGTCCATTTATTGAAGAAGGCTTAATGGTACAAAACATACTTATTTATAATATTAGTGCACTACGTAGTTACACACACACACACTTATAAAATATAACACACAATATTATTACAAAACATCAGCATTTCACGTGGCCTACTTTCGTGTCATTCAATGTTGCGTTGTATTATTAATACATATTTATTAAATTATTTTCATACTATCACACTAGTATGAGCGTACCGTATTTACCCTTTTTGTTTTAATTCGTTTTGATTCGCCTATTATATTAATTATTAGGTACTCCCTTATAAAATTTGGATTAATTTCGAGCAGGAATATCCTCAGCAAGAATCTAAAAATTCAGCAGAATTCAGCCCAAGGTGGATAAGTCAATTTTATTTTACTTCTTGTCTAGCGGTGAAACAATTTCATACAAACCTCTTTAGTATATTTTAGTATGAAATCGAAGAAGAATAAAGTGATCAAATCAAAAACATGTCAAAAGTCAACACAATAGCCAGAAAATTCACCGTTCTTTATAGTTTATAATAAAAAAGGAAAAAAACACAGACATGCAAGCCCCAAGTTTACTCCAGAGAACTAAATTCCTGTGGTCAAATATTTTCACGCAACGACCATTGACTCCTGAGCACACAGTTCTTGTTCGGTTGTACGCGAAGAAGTCCAGTGATGATTGCCAGAAAGCTATAGTTGATATGCCTCCAGAAGTAGATCCTGACTGCCCTCAGCCCTGTGAGAGGAGACAAAAGAAGAAGAAGGGGATACTGCACAAAATCAAAATGAAGGTTATTGAAGGCGGGACAAACTTTGGCAGTTAGTTAATTATCTTGATGTACTCCATCCATACAGATAATATAAATGTGAAAGTTACTTTTGCTTCTTTGTCTGATATTTTCACGTATAACAGCGAAACGCGTTATCTTTTGAAAGTTAAATCAGATAAAACGGTGACTGAAAGTTAATATGTTGTTTTGGAACAAATTATTGAACCATTTGTTAACAGCAAATGAATATGCGGGAACCAGTTGCTAATGGAAATGATTGCTAATGATGAAAATAATATTATCTTTGACAATATAAAAGTTATCTATCTTGCTTATATCTTGCAATAACCCAAGAGTTATCATATGGTATTATCCAATCTCTTAATTACTTCAGATTCATTACCTTATATGAATAATATTTAAACAGCGCCGTTTCGCCGCGTGCAATGTCAGCCAAAGGTTTGCAAAGAGTCCGAGCAGCCCAAAGCTCTGCCAGAACCGAAGAAAAAACTGCCTTCAGTGCCGGCGCCTCGCCCAGGGGTACAAGTATCGATACTTGGCGCCGACACGGCTATAGGCCAGTATTTGGCCTTACTACTCAAGCAATGTCCTTGTATCAAAAAGTAAGTCACAAGTCCTAAATTAAATCGGTAGCTTGAAAATATCAATAAGCATTTGTCTTTATAAAATGTCATAATGCTTGTATTGTTATTTTACGAAATAGTTTAATACATGTATTTAACTAGTAAATTAGAGTAGCTATCTATACTAGTAAGAACTACAAACGAACAAATAGATCATTAATTCCTTAAGTGATTCTATTGAACTCACAAAATATGCTTAACGTACTTCTGTACCTTTGCAAATTGATAAATTTCTAAAATAGTCTTAATTTTTATTCCAAAGACACTCACACATTTAAGTAGGAATCGTTGATAAATTTAAATACTTTGATTTCTCACTTTGAGATCAGAGTGTGCTTGTGGTCTTGTATCTAAAATGAATAAACTCAGGGTTCTAAACGAGTGGTTAGATTGTATAAACTGTTGAATCCTAAATACTCACCGCCCCGTAACAGCTTAAACACTCATGACCGGGGCAACAGATAACTCGCATACTTAATCAAGTTATTCGCTACAGTAAATCTGACCTTTTAATCTACATATGTTGCCTGCGAAAACCGTAAGGGTTAAGTAAATTTTTACTACACAAATATTGCAGCCTACGTATTCCATCTGACCACCATTAATCACTCTCTTTCTTATTCCTGGCAACTGAGCAACGAAGCTTTTCTTGCTCTGAAATAATCCAGTGCTTAATCTTTGATCAAGATATATTTTAACCATGCCTTACATTTTCTAAAATGATTGGCAATATTCAATGGTATGTGACGTCTAAAAATAGTTGAATATGATATAGATAGTGAGTCAAAATTAAAAATGCTGACATATGCTGTCGCGGACTTTATACAGAACTTTTAAAGGGGAACAATTCCGTCATACTTTCTCCGTATAAATTTTTGTGTAACTAACTTAGTGTCGCCGCACACGGGCCACCGACCACAACCACAAAACGCCGCCACCGTCATATTTCTTGTAGTTTTCATTCCTTTTTTTATGGACTCGCCACACACGGTACGCCGGTGACCGCCTCACGCTACAAATCGTCGTTGCTCGCTTCTTGTGGCCCGCGCCGGCCACTTAATGCGCCTATACAAAACGGCGCCACACGTCACTCGCGCGATTCTCCAACCCTCTCTTCCCTACCTTAGCCGGCAGCGGGCTTCAGCCACTTTAGTAGCCGCTTCTTGCTAGCTTCTCGTGGCGGCGTTTGTGGCTGTGGCGTGTGGCCCGAGTGCGGCGAAACTTACGCAGCGCACGCAACGGAAGCGCACAAATGTTTTTTTCCCCTTTATGCAATTTTTTTCATCAATACTCCGCGTAATTTAATATAGCCTTCCTCGATAAATGCACTATCCGACACAAAAATGATTTTTAAAATTGGAACAAAAGTTCCTGAGATTAGCGCATTCAACCAAAGAAACAATCTCTTCAGCTTTATAATATTAGTATAGATTGTATACATATGGATTCGAACAAATGACTGCACCCACCTGATGTTAAGTGGCGATGGAGCCCAGACCTCACCTTGCCGGCTTGCAAGTAGCTTCATCGCGTATCTTTAAAAGGACCCAGGGTCTTAGGAGGGAGGGCAGACTGGAACTAGCAAAGCATTCCATATTTGCGGATAATGCGACAAAATACACGAGACAAAATCTCATTGTTCGCGTTGGAGTCATTAGTATTGTATAAAATAGTATTGTTTTATTCCAACTGATTATAACGATGCATGGCCGAACCCTTTGTGGGATTGCGGATTTGTGGCTGCTAACAACGTTTGTTGTTACCCTATGTAAATCTTTCTTTGCGGTTGCAAATGCAGTAGGTATAAGTAAAATACATTTCCATACTTTCTTTCGAAGCACCGATATCTCGGATGTAGGTAAAGGTTTACCTCCTATCCTTATCCCAGATTATATACACTGGCAATATTTATCAATTTCTATTATTCACCTGATGCCGGTACGTGGCAATATGGAGTGTAAACCAATACACATGTTAGTTTTATGGCATATGTCAAAATTGCTTCAGCTGATTGGATTGTTCCACTACTGGCGATAAAATCGGATCAGAATTGGTGGTGTCGGGAAAGTTTGTTATTCTTGGTTTATGAGTGAGAACAATATTTTTCCTGAATGTGGAGATGACATGTACGTTTATGTTAGTAATTTTTTAAATTGTAATTGAGAGTATGTCAAACCCTCTTTTAAAATTTCTACGGTGATGTCGCTTGGTGGTGGTGTTGAAGTGGGTCGTTTAGCGAGGCGATGGATGATCCATATAATATCTAGCTGCCATTTAAGATTTATGCCTGCTAGTCGGCTACCACAATTATTCGTTAGCTACTATTTTATTTAATTGATTTGATAGTGTGAAAAGGTTTATGGAGTCCTAAACAAGGTGCGGCGTTTTTTCACGCCCGATCAACTGTGCTTGTTGTACAAAACGCAAGTGCGGTCCTGCGTGGAATATTAATCGCACCTCTGGGATGGCTCCGCCAAGTACTTGCTCGATGCTTTGGATAGGTTGCAGTGGCGCGCGATCCGCATCATAAGCGATGAGGAGGTGACTAAACACCTTGAGCCTCTTCAATTACGCCGTGACGTGGCGTCACTAAGCGCGTTCTATCGTCTGTACCACGGCGAGTGTTCTGAGGAGTTATTCTCTCTTATCCCACCTTCTCCTTTCCTTCAGAGGACCACGCGCGCTGGCCTACGTTGTCACGGTCTCACTGTGGCCACAATTCCAACGCGTACAAAGAAATTTGGTGACTCATTTCTTTGTCGCACTATCCGTAAATGGGATGCTCTGCCCGCTCACGTGTTCCCTCCCTCTTACAACCTGGGATCCTTTAAAAGAGGCGTGAAGAAGCAACATGCAGGCCGGCAGGGTGAGGATGGCTGGTGTGGCAGGTAAAACTGCTGTATCAGCTATCTTCACGTCTGGACTTCACCTTCACTTAACATCAGGTGGGGTGGAGTCATTTGTCGGACCTATCTATAAAAAAAAAAGTTGCTTTTCCTATTATGAAATGTGCTGATTAAATACAACATAACGCTCTGTGTGCAGTTTCTTTCGTCAGTCAGTCAGTAAGCGTTTACAGTTGTACTTCTATAATATGTTGAGTTTACTTTGATAAACAGTAGAACAATGGAATAATGGTAGTTGCGACAATAATTATCTATATAAGTGCCCTCCAAGCTTAACGTTAACCAAAAAAAAAAATAAACGGAAAACCAAAAAGAAATTTTATTAAGGTAGTGACTGGTAATAGAGATTTTTTATTTTCACAAACGCCGTAGTTTATTACATAGTAGGTATACTGTATCCTACAAAGTCAAGCACGTCTCGAATAGTTCAATCGTACGGTTTGTATTCCCTTGGGTAACTTTTGGGCCTTTGAAGTCCGCAAACTTGTGTTGTATTTTATGTTGGGATGGACGTCACCCAAAATAAACCAAGTTATTTCAGTTTTACCCTTATCATCGCAATGATTGGATTTAAACTTCGTTTTCATCCAATTTATTTTTATCTTAAGCATCAAATAACTAAAGTAGATTTCTTTTTTTAATTTCATCTGTTTTTTATACTTATCTCATTTATTTTTATTTTTAGCCTTTAATACCTAAAGTAGGTTTTTTTTTACTTCATCCGTTTCTTATGCTCTGTTGGTACCTCCTCTGACTTTGTCTTCATATTATTTAGAATATTGGTTGCCTTCTACCTTTTTTTAACTTTTGTTTTCATGCCAAACTTCCGTCTATGTTCTAATCTAATGTTCAATATTTTTGTCCTTTTAGTATCAATTTCTTCAAATACATTCCTCTTCTATAATAATTAAAAGTGTCGTTGAAATTTTAAAAAGTGTTATACTATCTATTAAATGTGCGCTTATAAATATTAATGGTTGTATTTATAGTTTAAGTGTGGCACTTGATTTATGGTTTTTCTTTCTATCACCGATCAAGGCTGATTCGGAAACCGATATTGGTAATAAGATAGCAGGCAGGAGTATTGTTCCCGACTACATTCTTAAACTTACCTATCTATCTTTTTAATATTCCTTTTATGGGTAGTTCGTTTAAAATGTGCCTCTTCACTCTGCCTGCTTGGTTTGCGGAGGCCTTTTCTGGATGTCCCCAGCAGAGTTAACTCCTTTGAGTAATTTATTACTGAGATACAAAAACATATTTTGTTTTTGCTTTTTAACTACATAGTCTATATTGGCGAGGCTAGGAGATATATCCCAGCCCACTTATTCAGCGTAGCCTTTCAGTTGTACTTTTAATGCATATACCAATGCAAATGGTACCAATGTCAAATACGATAATGACACTTTGATTTTCCGGTAAATTTTTGAATACTTTTTGGAAGCGAATGGTTTTAGTTTTCTCCAATCGATTATAGAAATGTATAATAAATGGCAACCCTAGTCCTCATGTTTATTAGTCCCCAAAGCCCTAAGGGACGTCTCGTCCTTATTTTATGTCACAACACTAGCACGCCACGTTTTGCCTCGTAGCGGCGTATCAGTTTGTCCACTAGGGTACATTTAATTTTGATTTCATCGTAACTTTAGTACAGACATTTGTAAAGCTTTTAGCGCGATAAATTTGGCAAGTAGGTAACTTTATAAATAACTATTATTTTCATGAATAGGTTTACGAGTTTGATGAAAGGTTAAATCTTGATAAGATCATTGCTTAAATCTTCTCTTTATTAGAGGAAAACTTTTATTATTACATCTTCACATTTTTTTTTCATTCATCTTTAGCATGTTGCATTAAATTTTTAATTGTTATAAAAAATAGGCCTTTCTCAACAAGCATCGGTGGTTTAGTGGTAGAAAGCTCGCGTCCGGGCGACCTTGGTTTGAATCCCAGCCCAGGAAAGACTTTTATAATTTATGATTTTTGAAGTATTATCTTTGAAGTTATATATTTATCTAAAACAAAAGAAGCTCGATAGCTCAGTGGAGAGTGCGTTCGGCCTGCGATAGTAAAAGTTAAAGAAATTTTTGCTATGGCCGGTCATAGGATAAACGGCTAAAAATTTCACCTCTGCACTTTGGAAAGCAGTTAAACTGTCCCGCTTGATCAGTTGTTACCTACTTCATCGAGTGCCTCTCTAACTAGTGAAGGCTGGAAGTCAGCTCCGTATATTTCACCCAGTCTTTGGCGAGGTTAAAAAGCTCCGCGGCACTTGTCATTCCGGCCCATTCTCGGCGATTACGCAGCCACGCCATCTTCTTCAGCCCAACAGCTTTTCTCTCGGCCACCTTGCCCATCAATATCCTTTGAACACGCTCATGTCTCAAGTACCTAAGTACGTGACCTGGATAGGCAACCTTCCTTCGTTTGATGATCTGCATTACTTTGCCTTTCCTCCGAGCTCGACGTAGGACCACAACATTGGTCACTCGCTGCGTCCAGCTTATCGCCTATATGCGTCCACATTTCAAATGCTTCTATACGTTCCGTTCCGTTGTTGCTCTTTACTGGACCCTTAAACAGCCTCATATCTCTATATGTCCACATTTCAAATGCTTCTATACGTTCCGTTCCGTTGTTGCTCTTTACTGGACCCTTAAACAGCCTCACATCTCTATAGATGTATGGGATATGTATAGCATTGGAGTAAACAAATCCGCAAAGATATTTTAACTAACTAATCACATGACTTACAGGCGCTTTCTTGGTAACCACATGATTTTCGTCTTGGAGATATTCAGACCCGCGCAAAAGTGTACTCATTAACACGGTCAACAACTTTTTGCAATTTAACCTCTGTGGTTCTTCAGGACTGTGTCATCCCCATTTTCAGCCGTTAATCTTGATGCCAGAGTCCCTTCCAGTGCTTCAGCGATAATTGTCTCCGAATATAGAATGTTGGTGAGAGTACACATCCCTGCCGGATGGCTCTTCTGATCTCCACTTCGTCAATCTCCTCACCATCTACACGGGGGTCGCTCTCTGGCCCACTGGGACCACCAGTACAGGTCCTGGATAATACGTACACTTTTGCTATTTAACCAAATGTCGTTTAAGATTGCTATAAGACGAATTGTAACCACAAGATTGCAATATTACAAAAAAAAATAGGTTTTTTTTTCCTTTTGAGCTTCATGGATTCTATCAGAATTACAGACCTGTCAGTCAGATATTGAGTACTCACCAGGACAAATAAGTGGTATAAAAGCAAGGGTCATCTATTTCAGTTATATTGTTTCCATTACAATAGGGGTGATGACGGGGTACAGTAAACGAAATTCTATTTAGTCCGTCAATTAGATGATCAAAAAATAACGGATGCGTATTTTTTCTTTGGGCAATCAACCAAAAAATGACAAAGTTGTAGCGCGTCAAAGTTTGGGAGTAGGGGCTCGTGACGTCACTTTTGAGTGAATTTTCACTTATAAGTGTACTCAAACGTGACGTCATGCGACTTTTCAAATCAATATATCTCTGCAATGTTTATATTATGTGAAAAAAGAAAAATACGTGTCCAATACTTTTTGATAATCTACCTGATAAACTAAGAAAAATAAATTAGTCTTCATCCCTATTGACGTACGGTAGCGGAAACGGTGACGCAAAGAAATAAATTGGCGTAAAAGGAAAAATAATGCTTCCTTTTGGCACGCGAAGTACATACACTTGCGGAATCTATTTAGATCTATGTCTGTGGTCAGAATAGTAAACATTTTATATCTTCCAGCAATCTATCAGGAGTCAGGACAGTATATTTATATTCTTCCCTGCAATTATAGTGGTGTGAACATTATAAAATATTCATTTAGGAACAGTAAAGAATACATAAAAGTTGTAGCGGTGGTGCCTTATACGTGCTATTATGTGCATCTCTTGCCGGCCCAAATAAAGGTGCTGTCCGACGGCTTGCGTATGAGAAGTCTAACGTTTGAGATTTAGCAGTATCTCTCAGTATCTTTACATGATACGAGGTAAATAGAAAACTCGTTCACTTTGCTTCCTTACTTACTTAGTCGATCCGTTGTGGACTGAACATCATTTACTTTACGATATTTTTTTTTGTGTACACGACACAAACAAACGACGTTGTTCCAATTTCATATCATTGTATGAGATTTCTATTTACCTCGTTTCATGTATAGAGACTGCTTAATCTCAAACGTCAAGAGTTCTCATACCTTTGGCAACCCTTGCGCGGTGCGCTCGCTACAACACAGGCCGTCGGACACCACACCTTTAGGCTAGATTTTACGAGGGTCATGACTGCCGTCCGGCTGTTTATCACAGCACTTTTACTGCCGCAAAATACAACTGGAATTCAATGCACATGCCTTGTGCTCGATAAAGAAATACTTACTTGTCACTATATAAGTAAGAGATCGTGAATCTTTACAAAGAAATATAGGTGTGTGCCACTCATGAAACCGAGTTTTTTCCTACAAGTAGTGTGGGTTGAAATCCTACTAATATTATAAATTTGAAAGTTTGTATGTTTGTTACTCAATCACACAAAAACTTACTACGATTTGATTGACATTTGGTACGCGTTTAGTTTATTACTTGTATTGAAACTGAGATATAGGATACTTTTTGTCCTTTTTTTTTTATTGTTGGAAAAATGCGTTACGCATACCCCGCCCTGGTTGAGTAGCAGGGTTATGTGGGACTCCTCCTCCCCCCAAATCCCGCCCACCCGCCCAGGCAGACTGCCTGGCTCGGCGGCTGCTCGGGACGAGAGGGGGGCCCTACCCACTAAAAACCCAACAGTGCTCCCTCGTCTGCCGAAACGGGTTTTGTGGGATCCGGATGACGCTCCACGTTACCCCGGCAGTAATTTCTCCTCCTCCTGGTGGTCAGGGGGATGCCCGGGAGCACCTAGGCATCCCCCCCTCGACGGGTGAAACTGTGCAATGCGAGCGACGGACCACCCTGTCCGCTGCCCGCAGTCCCACTAGGGTGGAAAGAGGCGGTCGTACTGCCCCCCGGTCGTCGGCGATGGAGAGGGCCGGCCCGAGCGTCTCCCTCGCGGGCCCTCTCCGCTGTCTCCTTCTGTAGGATAACTTCCTCACAGAAGGAGACGACCGCGTTCCAGGATCTGTCGCTGTCCAACACGCGTGGGCCTACCTGCGCACGTCTGCGGGGTCCCCGTAATACCGCGGGAGACCCCTGCTGTGGAGCCCTGGCGAGGCCGGGAAGCTGCTGGGGCGGAGCCTTGGTAGAATCCCTAACGGGGACCCTGCGGCTCCGCACTAAGCAGTGTAGAGGTATTCGCAGGACTTTTTTAGCGGATATTATGCTGTAAAGCGCCCGTAAGAGTTGCGGGGTCCTCGGTGGGTAGCCACTGGGGGGTCCGCAAGACTTGCGGGAGCCAGGTGTGAGGTCCGTTCGGCGGTGTGCCTCTTAAAGGCGCCGTCGTCTGTAAAAAGATTTTTTACCTGCGTTAAAAAAAAAAAAGGTCTGTCGCTGTCCAGCATCGCTTTAACGACGCTGGACAACGAGAGATCCCTAGGATACTTTTTATCCTGGAAAAATGTTAAGTTCCTATAGGATTTTCAAAAAACTAAAGTTGACGCGGATGAAGTCGCGGGCGGCCGCTAAATAAATAATAATAATACATCAATAAATGCCATGTATATTTTAAGACTTGTGCTTTTTAAATTATTCCTCTACTTTATCAACCTGAAGTGCTTTTCAACCACCCCTTTGAAATAAATGATAACGACAAATTCAAATATTACTTTACCCGTATAATTTTTTTACGTGATTTTGGTATTTAAATTTAGATTATTCTTCCCATCCATGACCATTTACATCAACATGATAGAGGTTGATGTAAAGAATCCGATCTTTTACAAGTTCCATGGTCACTAGACTGAACATTTCTTTTTAATTTTATAGCTATTAACAGGGTTGTTACCATGTACCTTGTTTTTTATGAGTCTACTCATGAGTAACATGAGCAACATCTACCGGCAATTACTTCAGTTACTCCGTGATCATGGCGCTTGTTTTTGTTTGATGCAAGTATGAGCGTACCGTATCTATCCTTTTTGTTTTAATCTAAGATGTCAAGTGTAAAATGTTTACTAATTCTATAGCACTCGTGGTCAAAGTAATAAATCAAGTCAAAGTAAGTGGCAGTCAAGTCGATCCCCTTTTCCCTATGTTTCAGTAAATGTGTGGGGATTTACTGGAACCTTCCCGTGGACTTCTTGAGGGAACGTCGAAAGACACTTTCCGCTATTTTGTTTCACTTGCCACCACTTGTGCATGTTCCCGAACACTTAGTGGTTAATAATTCCATCATTATTAGACACTAACATCCGCCACAACACAATTTTTAACAAGAAAAACAAAACTGCTAAAGTGACGCTTCCTGATCCCGCCAACAATCCCGTTAATAGCTTTAATGTTAGTGACCATGAAAGTTTAAAACAATATATTTTTAAATTTTGTAATTCCATTTTATCCTTGCCATTTGGTTCATTGAAATGTTTACTTTAGTTTAATAAGTTATTTTCTACCATCCCATTCCAGATTACGTCTTTACGAAGCCACAGATACTCAGGGTTCACCTTGCAACAGGGAACTTTGCAATGTCGTACAGGACCTGAAACACATTGACACAAACTGTCAAGTTCAGGCATTCAGTTGCGCCTGCTTCGAACTGGAGAGATGCTTACAGGTCTTTAATTTTGTTTTCAAGTCGCTTCACGGTTTTAAGGTCATTATAATAATAAATTTATTTGGAAGAAGTTCATTGTACATACAGGCACACGCAGACAGACAGGCTAGGCGCATATGTACGGTTTCTTGATTCCGTTTTATGATCAGGAATTCCGATTTGGCACCTGATGCATACATACAAAATATTCAATGACACGTACACTACTATTTATTTTTTTCATAATAGAAAAACCTAACGTTTCGGTTCGGAAAATACCTCATAAAAAACCAGTCTGCGCTAATCTTATAGAATTCCGAATTTGAATTCCTGATCAGGAAATCGAATCAGGAATGCGCCCAACCTAATAATCCTAGGAAATAAAGTTTGTACTTATTCGAAATTCTTTGTTAGCAAGCATCCTCATTAGCTATTACAAAAAGTTGATAGACAATATATACCATTGTATATTTGCAGCATTGCGACTATTAATCAAACCGTATAAAACCTTTTTATATTTCAAGGTAAAAAAAACTTACAGTTCTCGTTAGTTCGGTAAAATTAAATCGACTACAACATTTTATTCCGTCTAGACTGTTAATAAAGACTTGGATGGAATACCGTCGGTTCATGAATCTAAGTCGCTAGAGAGAACCTGTAGGTACTGCTTTTACTTATTAAGATGGACCGGTAACGTCTCTTAATGCAAAATTCCTTCCTCCATTACATTCAAACTATCATTCCAATATCAATCATGTTTGGTACGAGTTTTGATAGAATTATACCTCATGTGTGTGTGTGTGTGTGCGTGCGTTTATACAGGTGGCATTCTTTCAATTCGTTTGTTCGATAACGCTTAAATATATCAAATTTTCAAAATAAGCAATAGTTAATGAAATAACTTGTTGCAAACTTTCTGTATCAAACATGTGATGGATTGTATGGATATCAAAAGCTAGTGACAATTTGAAGTTCATTGCCTAGGGACCATAGTAATGTGATCTCCTTTTTAAAATTTTGTAGTCCTCCCCCCTTTGAAAGGGTCACGTAATAAAGGTATATTCCCTTATTTGTATACCTTTAATTTAATGTTACGACTTAATAAAATGATATAAACTTGTCTACGGCGCCAGTTTCTTTCATCAAACTAGGGTGTTCTTTTCACATTTTGTTCTGTTGTTCGTACGTGACACTAGACGTGGTGAGCGGTATCCAGGTAACTTGCCAATCGATAGCGTTTGCCCTCGAACCGCAAAAATATGTCATAACTTCTTCTATACCCAATAATTCTTTGGTGAAAGGAAATGGAAGAATCACGGCCATTACAATAATAGCCCTAACTCCTCGTTGACACCAAGAAACATGTTATTTATATACTAGCTTTACGCAAAACTTTTAGACTACGTTAGTGACTGTTTAGAACATCTATTCGTTAACGCTGCATATACAACTAGGATACTAGTATATTATAAGTATAAATCACTTTAAATCCACATGTTTTGTTTGTCCAACAATAAATGCAAGTATTGTATACTACATGTATTAAGTGTGAACAAAAAATTAAGACATTGTACCTATAACCAAAATGTCAATGACCCGTGTATATCACACTAATATTGTAAAGGCGTGTGTATGTTTGTTACTTCTTCACGTCTAAACGGCTAGAGCGATTTTATTAAAATATGGTATGGAGTTAGCTGACATCCTGGATTAACACATAGGCTACGTTTTACTGCGGGAAAATATCTATATATATAAAACTCAAAGGTGACATAGTGATCTATCAACGCACAGCCCAAACCACTGGACGGATCGGGTTGAAATTTGGCGTGCAGTAGATGTTATGACGTGGGCATCATTTTGATTAATTCTTCCCCCAAGGGGATAAAATAGGGAATGAAACTTTGTATGAAATTATGTCAATTTTAAACCGATCGGGCTGAGACTTTGCATGCAGGTATAAGAAGAATTATAGATGAATGTCATTGTGTATAATACAAGCCTGTGAACAAAAACTGTAGTCTACACTTCAGCTCTACAACGAAGCGAAGCGAGGGCGAGCCGCTAGTTCCTAATAAACCGCGGGTAACACCGCGGGGCACAGCTAGTTGCAACTTAACTGTAAAAATCGACATTCAATTATTTTCATAGTGCAAAGTGCAGTGTTATATTGTCTATCGCTTTCATCTACGACCTTCAGCAGTTAAACCAGTTAATCGCACAAAATATGGAAGACCCAAAATGATTGATGAACGTAAATATAAGCGAGGCAAAGTGATTACGTAACGCTTTCACGTAACATGACATATTAATGAAACGTAGATTTTGCATGCAAATTGAATTTCACGTTTACTAAGACATTGTTAAATTAAAATTTTGTTACAAATTAAGTACATACATGAAGACTGGTATTTTATGAATAAAAGAAGTTATTTATTTGTTTATCTTGCATGCATATGCAATACATTTCGAATTTTGGTTACAGTGTGTCAAACAGAATATTAATGGGGTGATCCCGAACTGTTAGATAAGCCCCTTCATATTTCCTTTCATTTAATTTCATGATAATTGAATTAGTGATAGATAATCATAAAAAAAAAATACTACGACCTTAAACTCTGAATGGTCGCACTCAATTAAATTTAATGCTTCTTTTGAGTCATATGTTGCATAGCATTACAATTTATCAAAGGTAAACGATAATTATTGAAGTCTTTGAAAATACGACCTGATTAACTGAGTATTCGATCAGTTTATTTAATATTGAAATATCATTTATAAATCGTTTAAGGAATACTTCAGTAAGATCGATACTATATTCATGTGTCAGTTTATCCCTTATTAAAATTTCTGAAACAGGACTGGATATTTTCATATTTTTTTTATGTTCCTTAACTTTTAAGTGTTTTCTATTTTTAACTGCCATGAAAATAGTCGTAATCTTTTTTAATACTTCAGATAGTTTAAATGTTATTAAATATCAGTTGAGCTTTAGTACGAGTAAGTCTTATGACCACTGACACCACCAGTTTTTAATGAAATTTAAATGAATTCCTTATACTTATCCCATTCTATCTCTATTGACTTCCAATGGAGTAATATTTCAACTGGAGCTACCTTAAACGTGATTAAATAACGTTGGCGCAAATGGCACTTAGCCACATAGTACGTTGATACCAAAAAGTTTTTCTTAATGATATCTCCCTTTTTACATCTACCAGAACAGTGATATAGTTCTCATGCTGGAGAGCGGCTACATCAGCGTCGATATGCCGACGGAGAAGAGGTTTTGCTACCAAGCTCCCATAGTGAAGAAGTATACTGATGCGATAGCCGCGGAGTGTCCCAAGGCGTTTCTAATAGTCTGCGCCACGCCTATAGATTGCATGGTTCCACTCGTTGCCGAGGTATTAGACAACTTATTTTATTTGATATACATATAAACATTATAGCTATTAACGGGATTGTTACCATGTACCTTGTTTTTTGTAAGTCTCCAATATTTCGGCACTGTTGCAATCGGCATGATCACGGAGTAACTAAAGTAATTGCGGGTAGATGTTATTGGCAGACATATCGGTCTACCCTCTGACGTCGTCTTTTACTGCGCTCGATACGCCTACCACTGGTCATACGTCTACCCGCAATTACTTCAGTTACTCCGTGATCATGGCGCTTGCAACAGTGCCGAAATATCGGAGACTCGTAAAAAACAAGTTACATGGTAACAATCCCGATAATAGCTATAATGTTAGTGACCATGAAAGTTTAAAACAATATATACATATAAACAGTCATAAACTAAGCTTCTTTACAAATAGTCAATGGAATAGGATTAGCTACCTATATAATAAGACAATTCCATACAGGCAATTACAGCCGCTCTACTGTTCGCATACCAAATCGCCTCGTTGATGGCTAGGTAATTTACAAGAGTGACTGAAACCGCAAACATAAACCTATTTTCATATTAACTTGAAATTAAGCACAACTAAGTCACGATAATGTCAATTAGGTACTTGATACCATAACATTGTTTGACAGGAAGGAAAGTTGTGATAGACGCGCTAATAAATAGTGAGTAATTTATGAGATGATAGATATCCTTCATGTGTTTAACCCCAAAGATGGTAATAAAATAGTTATGAAACTATTATATCGTATAGTAGCTTCCATTTTATGTGTATAAATAGGGTTTATTAATGATACTACAATAATAGTACTCGGTTCGTTTAATAGGTTTTCGATCGGCTGTTATTATAATAATGAAACTTTGCAACCTTTTTACTATAGATAGTTTTGGGAATATCGGACGTACAGTCAGCTCTATAAAATAAGAAATGTGAAGACTGATCAAAATTATCGAAGATACATAAATTTGATTTTATATTTGCTATTAGATAATCTTATTGTTGTAGCCGGCCAGAGTGGTAAATGTTATCGAAACAACATAATTCATAATTTATGTTGTGAGTTATGATCAACAATTGTATATTTGCAAATAACTGTTCAATGGTATCTAAGCATTCAATGTTATCAAAAATATCTTGGTAGTAAAGAAAAGTAAACGCTAATTTGAGGTATTACGGTTCTTATGTTTTCATTTCGTGCACGACGTGATTGAGATGTCTTTTGTTTGGGCCTAAAGGGATTCCATTAGAAAACTATAATTTAATTGCTTTTTTTTTAATTATGCATGGAAGATGCGAATTATATGCAACTTGAATAAAGCTGCATATAAGCTACAAGTTGCGTGTCAGTTGTACATTTTTATTCAAGTGACGCGTAATTCATAGCGCAAGTGTTATTTACACGTTTCACTTTAGTTGGTTAGTTGCACGTTTAAACGTTAACCTACTTGAGTTCAATGGCAAGATTCTCCCGGTTTTCCTTGGTTACCGCATATCCAGCCGCTACTTGTCCGAGATATCCCGCGTGCAATGTACTATCGTCTGCCTAGCAAGGAATATTCCCAAGAGGAATTAAGTCATTGATATGCAGCTGAAAAAGAGTGGTGGATAGGGCAGAGCCCTGAGGAACGTCGGCATTCACTGACATGAACCGCAAAACCGTAACGACACGAATTATACGAAAGTAAAGACACGAATTCTACGCTCATGTAGGAAGTCGGCTACCCAGGAACAGAACTAGACCGGCAGACCGTATGCCGGAAACTTGGCCTTGGCAATGTCAAGGCTGATAGCCAACGATTCACCCCATTTGTCGATAGCCTCACCCCAGAGATGAGTCAAGTGCGCTAGAAGATCACCTGTCGATCGTTTCGGTCTAAAATCATATTGACGATCGTTAATCAGGGAGTGAGCCTAGGTAGCGGGTCAGATGTTTGTTAAGGACCTTTTCTAGGACTTTACATAATACTGTGGTGACTCCTATTGGCCGGTAGTTTGCCGGGTCTGAGCGATCCCTTTTTGGGCACCGGTTGCACGTTGGCATCTCTCCAAGTCTCCGGCACACGCCTCAAAGAATACGAGCATTGGAACAAGCGCGGGAGCATGGAAGACAACTCCGCTGCACATTTTTTAAGTACTACTGCTGGGATACCATCAGGTCCACTAGCTTTCCGGACGTCGAGTGATTGGAATTCGGCACGAACCTCACGCTGCCTGATTTTAATATCAGGCATTGTTGTGCCACAATGAGGTAATGATGGTGGCAGTGCATTGCAATCATCTATTCGGGAGTTAGCCGCGATGAGTTTTGGTATTAAATCGAGTTCCTCCTGTGGCTTATTTTTTATTTCATAAGGCTATTTAATTAATTCCGCAGTCAAGATTTTTCTTCATCTCTTGTATGCAATTAAGATTTGATTTAAAAAACAATGTAATCCTGATTTATTGTTCTTTTTTTTTAAATCTTGTAGTTTTTTCTAATTCCGGAACTAATTCTGGAATTCCAGAATTGAGTACATGCTCTAATCTAAATGTATCTATATGTACATATATATCTTTCAGGTCCACTTGTAGCAATTTTGCTTAATCTAGAATCAACAAAAACTAGAAATATTCCAAAGAAAAATGATAATGTCAATTTGTCGTTATTGTATGGATCACTGTTTTGTTAAAATGAGATTTAGCGAAATCGCTGAAAATAGGCCTTACAGACAATTAATCACACTAATATTATAAAGGCGAAAGTTTGTGAGTGTGTATGTTTGTTACTTCTTCACGTCTAAACGGCTGGAGCGATTTTAGTAAAATTTGGTATGGATTTAGCTGACACCTTGGATTAACACATAGGCTATGTTTTACTGCGGGAAAATATCCCTAATAAACCGCGGGTAACACCGCGGGGCACAGCTAGTCATTCAATAAAGTTTAAAAAATAAACCAATTTGTTTTGTAATAAAATTCCATACCAGCACAAATCAGCCATAACATTGTCCTTTTCTAACCTTGAGAAGGGCAAAATATCTAAAGGTTTTCAAAATTAAGTTTATTCCATTCAAATTGATAACATAATAACGAGTGTGTTTCAAATTTCCAAAATGTTTTTCCTCCTACTGGATCTTAATAGCGGCCTACAGACACGGCTACGACGTCGCTGCTCGATAAATATTTCACACATCCCGCGGGGCAGACTTCCAATTCTGTCGCAATCACGTTATCCCGTCAACGAGGGCCATTTGTGCAAACTCTTCGATTAGTTACGGCGAATGATTCCATGATGCCTCCGTGACTTGTTGTGTCGTTTTGTGTGATTTACAAGTAAGAATTTATATGTGACATTGGGCTTGATTTTTGGCATAGCTATCTAACCATAACCTAAATTTGACAAAAATAAGTATATCCTTGTCCTTGTGGCTACAATAATAGGCTGATGATGATGATAATACATATAAAGCCCTATAAATAATGATAAGGAGAGACTGCTTTGAATTGTAGTTTTTAAATTTGGACTAACGTGCTAGGATAAATAAATATTCGCTGTTATTATAGTTTTTTAAGTAGTTCAGTCTAAGAAGAAGATTTTCGTAAAACACGCTCTCAGTTTAAGGAATATTGTAGGAGGCTGGTAGGATAATAATTATATAAGTTAAATTTATTTCACAGAAATGAAAAAAAGGGAAACGCTAAAAATGTTTGATGTTACTAATAATGGTATGTAGATTTTTGTCTGTGTGCATATCGCAAACGATAAGTCGGTGCCTGCCTATTTTTACCATCCCTGTAATTTGGGCGATCAACTTTATTAGCCCAACGAGCCATAAACACACGTTTCGCCTCCTTACTAAGCCTTAGTATATTCTAATATATTCGAATTATACAATATAGAAATGCAGGCATTCCTCTTCTTATTTTCATTCGCGTTATTATGAAGATTGGGGCATACATTTCTTTTTATTATGAATGATTCATATTACAGAACTTCTGCATTTGCGTGATAATAAAGTATTCCAAACAAATCTATATTCGTATACATTGGTTAACACTGATGTATGTATCTATGTATGTTGTAAAATTAAAATGTTATCAAACATTTTAATTTTGTTGAGTCCAAATTGTAGTCCGGAAAACTTATGTGGCAGTAGGAACTCTCACATAAGTTTCGAAGCTACATTAGCCGTTACATGTTTGGTTTCCTATTCAAATCTGTTGCTTAATGACTAAGATTATAGTATATCGACGACCTCCATGGCCGAGGGGTTTCATGGCGTCGCCGACTCGAGAGGTCCCGGGTTCGAATCCCGGTGGGGGCAGATGTTTGTGTGATGAACACGAGCATTTGTACTCCAGTCATGGATGTTTAATATGTATTTCTATATAAATATACTTATATACGTAAAGTATATGTATTCTATCCGTTATCCTAGTGTCCCATAACACAAGCCTTATAGTGCTTACTTTGGGGCTAGGCAAATTGGTGTGAGTGTTGGAAATATTTATTTAATATTTTATTTATTATTTATAGTATATAGCTTAGCTTTCTCAAGCAATGCTTATATTACATTCCAATAACTTATAAAACCGAAAAGTAAACTGTAATATGGGTAAAAGTCATCGAGTTGACCTTTGTTTTTGCTCCAATCTACTCTGACGTAACAGAACCTTTCAGCGGCGAACTTTTGTATTGCTTCATACAGCTTGTGGGGGGCGCGGTTGATATTTGGAAACATTGTGTGTACTTAATAGCGAAACGGTGCGGCGTTTTCGTTCACTGAGACATTCATAGCAATGTCATTTATTTCCTTTGTTTCTTGGTCCTTTGTTTTATCTTCATCGATGAGAGGAAACAATACTGGTTTCATTTATGAATAGGTTGTTAAATATATAGAGAAACAAAGTTATGTACACGTTTTTACTTTTCGTAAATAAACATATCAATTATGATATCAGCTTGAGCCTTGAGTATTGTCTCAAATTTACCTTTTCTATACTCGTACATCAGTTGCAATTGAATTTTCTATACTTTTCCTAATCATTGACAAATTATAAATCTTGCTGTACTAAATCCCACGACAACGGCCAACTAGAGCCTGTCCGTATCCTTTAGATTAGGTACCTCTTGTAGCGCCGACGCCCCTCAGGCTCGAGTGGCCTATATATCTCACTAATACATATTATAAAAGCGAAAGTTGGTGAGTGTGTATGTTTGTTACTTCCTCGAAACGGCTGGAGCGATATTATTTGGTATGGAGTTAGCTGACACCCTGGATTATAACCCATAGGCTACGTTTTACTGCGGCAAAATATCCCTAATAAACCGCGGGCAACACTGCGGGGCACAGCTAGTATATATATAAATATATATATATGTATATAGATAGTAATGCTGCGGTAGAGATGGCCCCAGGTGACGCTGTACACATCATCTACCATCAACAAGATACAAACTAAAAAAAAAAACTGTCTTAAAAATAATGTTATCTGCTCAATAAAATAAGTATAACTTCCTCTACAGACGCTAAAAGAAACAGGTTGGTACGATCCACGCAAAGTGTTGGGATCGCTGGCAGTCCCCGAGATGCGTGCGAGCACATTGGCTGCGCGAGCGTTGTGCCTGGAGCCAAGGTATACGCGAGTGCCTTGTGTTGGTGGGACGGAGGGTGATGCTTTGGTGCCGCTGTTCTCCAAAGCCGTGGAATACTTTGATTTCGCTAAGGTAAACAAGTTATATTGCTAATGAAAAAATATTTTCAACTAGTGCTGGGTGCACGCTGCTACTTCGCCTTCGTAATATCTCCGCACCAGAAATCAACAAAACTAGTTAAAGTAGGTTAATGATCACGAACTACCGAAGTATGAGATATTGTTATAAAATCACTAATATTCGCAAAGCATTAGAAACTACTAAATCACCTGAATTTAGTTTTATGCCCGTTATACAGTTGGGTTAGTCCTATAGGTTAGTTCTGATGACTGAACTATTGCTCGTTATAATTTCTTTATCCTTTATTGACCGTGATGCCAAAAATGCTTTGGACACTTAAATATCGTCGTTAGTCATTTAATTTACCTGATGCTTTCAACTTTTAACTCAAAATTTATTGTTTCACCATACCTTTTGATCTAGATTTAAATCACATCTTACTTTAAGTAAACTACTCAACTAATTGTAATAATGCAAATGATGGTGAAGACAAAGTAAGCTCCAATATAAACCCGAATTATTACACAAATTGGTCTAATCTGCTAAATCGGGCTTTTAAACCAATACCATTTCAATCTTCATTACATTTGCTCTAAGTTTGCTATCTAAAAATAATGTGGGTAGGTACTAACGCATACCACAAATACTACCTTTGACTTCCAGCATAACGCAGAGCTGATGACGCATACAGTGCGTACTGCTCCAATGACCGTATCTCGATGCTCCGGCATGTGTTCCAAAGCGGCTGATCTGAGTGAAGCTCATGCTATTGCGGGACTAGTCACCAAAGTGGCTTACGCCCTACTTTGCAAAGATGTACCGAGAGTCACTGGTTTCGTGGAAACTGATCCGAGTCATGTAATATCTCCAGCCAGGTATTGTTTGTTGGAGTCCCTGTTTATTTGTCGGGTTAGATGGATATAGCTAGTTGCCAATTTATTATTGTAAATAGAAACATTGAAATAGTGAAGAATCGTTTAATCGCACTTCATTATGGTCTCAAATAGGCGTAACGCTTCCCGGAAAGCCTATTATTAGTATGCTGAGAGGTAACTGTGTTCTCACCTATTTAGACATGCTTTCATTTCAAAATAATATATAGATAGTATTTAATCGTTAAAATTATCATTATTTTGAGAGTAAAATTAACGAGCTCTGGTTAAAATAAGCATGAAATACAAGAAGTTTTCCCCTCATCAGGTATATCGCGATCACGGTGGAGTTAGGGGGCGCTGGGATCGCTAGGAACTTAAGTCTACCGAAGATGAATGAGCACGAAACCACTCTTCTCAATCTCGCCTTAAACGACTTATGCGAGAAGCAGAAATTTACATTGGAATGGCACCATAAGTACTGCACCTCCTCTGGTAGACTGGACGCCTGTCAGTTACAGTTCTTCACTCCTCAAAGCAACGAACGTTTCGACGACTGTGCATATGCTAATTTGTGAATTTTCATATTACCTATTTTCGTAGGACTTTAGTGATTTGTGAAATTTACTAGTGAATTTAATGGTGTGATTTTTTTATAATTTCTTCTTGTGTTTTTGAAATACACTGTTTTTAGTTAATTGGTTATTTTACTGGATTTAGTTATTTGGGACATTATACTGGATTTCATGATTTCTAAAATTTATTGTGTCGTTTCAACATCTGCGACCTTTGTCGGAAAGCCAAGTTGTTTCATGCTTGTTTTAACGTAGTTCCACGAGCACCTTAGAGTTTGACGACCTTCGTGGCCGAATGGTATATACTCCGGGTTTCATGGCGTCGCCTACTCGGATGTCCTGGGTTCGATTCCAGGTGTATGATTAAAAGCATATACCTTAGTCATGGATATTTCTAGATAAAATTGTTTCCCTAGCACCCCATACAACAAGCCTTCCGTGCTTACTTTGGGGCTAGGCTTATTGGTGTATTTATTTATTATATTAGAGTTTGATCCGTAAAAGTGGGAGTGAACATGTTACGTTACTGATTCTCATATTTCCTTTATACTAGATACCTAGCCGTTGACGTTCTTCTTAACGACAAAGGTATATGCACCAAATTCGACATCCCAATATTGAATAACTACGAGAGAGACCTGGTGGAAAAAGCGCTTTCTCACATCGTCACAAATGTGGAGATGGCACAACATTGGCACATGGCTTATTTAAAACAAGAATTGGTGGAGTGTAAAATGGCCATGATGACACAGTGGTTCCATCCGAAAGACTATGATCATGTGAAGAAGATTTGTCACTATGGTTAAACTCAGTTGAAATCGTCAAGGATGGCCGATAAGTCCTGAACTTAGAGAATGTGTCGCATAAAATATGACTTGATATCGAATGTTTAGTAAGAACTCTAGTAATAAGATGTAACAAAATCATTTGTATCTTTAGTGAAAACGTTTTGTTGGGTACTGTTGCAGTCTGTGAAAAAAAACCTTAAAAATTGGAAATAATAAACCGTGGAACAGTAACTTGATATGTATTTATTTCAACAACTTACTTCTAATAATATCACAATTTGATTGGCACAATGTTAAAATAGATACTATAAGTTGCTATTTCTTCTTATTACGTCAGTGCAAATTACACTTTCCCTATTAATTGTTTCTTATCCATTAATTTCTATAACTACAGCCTATTTCTCGCGAACGGTGGTCTTTCATTTGTTTCCACGTACATTTTCCCAGACATTCTGTAATAAAAAAATGGTTTAATACCTCCTTTTATCGCTTACATTACGTTCAATTAACAAATGACAGTCATTTTATATCAGCATACAGTTCTTTGATAGCGCTCATAAACGAGGCCAGGCAGCAAATATTGATGCATCCAACATTACGTGAGCTCTACATTCACAAAGAGTGATTTTGATGGCAAACTGCGCCGGCACCCTTTGGGGTTCCTTGTTTACTGGTTATTTTATCTGTTACGAGGTACATTGAATCTTCACTCGCATTTCATACAGCAGAATCACGGGGACTGTCCTTGCAGGTTTTTAAAGATTGGCAAAACTATGAGATCCATTACCTATAAATAAAGGTCTTGCAATGGACAATATTTTATCTTTAATTGTTTCTCATCAGTTCAAAGTCTAATTTGTGTGATTGTGCTCAATTTTGTGCTATCTGTATGTATCCATTCATTTATCCAAGCATAAGTTGTTCTGTCGTAGATTTTTCTCTACTGCTTCCTGTTGCCAAGCTTTTTGGTGCAGTACTGTGAAGGTACCTACTCAACTACAAAACATTACTCTTGCTGAAACATTAATAAACATATCTATCTCGGTTAACTTACGGCTGGCGTGCACCGATGCCCAAATACCCGTCTGTCTGAACGGAGCACCTCCCAAAACCGGGGTTCCTGCAGAGAGTGGCTGGGAAACCCACCGGATTGCTCACCGACTCTGCATACAGCCTCCATGCTCGGTTGTGACTACAACCATCTATAATAAGAATAACAAAACTTTCAGCCTACGGGGGACCCAAGATCTGGTAGGTTTTTTGCTCAATGAATTAGTATGGCGATACAGCGAGGCAACGCTGTATCGCCAAGCAATCATCCCCCTCTCAGGGGATGATTGCTTCAGATGAAGCTTGTCAGGCCCTTTCGGCCATAAGCATGAACTATGGGTGTGTTTTAGTCAATAGGTGTCTGATATAGCCTTGCAGTCGGCTGTAGGGTATCAATGAGGATTTCACACCCGCTCCACCGCCTGAGAGGAAACAAAACGATCAATTGTCAAAATACTATGGAGTTTGTCAGTTAGATACGATAAAAAAACGTGATATAATGTAAATTGTGGTACTCATGCTACGGGGCCAGAATGGCCTGTAACACTCGACTTAATTGTGTACAGAAAATTCATAGGAAACTAGTGACCCGTACTCGATTTGTGCCGAATATAATTTTCTGCTGGACTTGTAATATACACTAGCGACCGCCCGCAACTTCGTCCGCTTTAAAGTTTTAATTGTTCTGGTTAATATATAGTCCTAAGAAGCTCATAAATCATGTGGCTGTCTATTGCGAAAATAATTTTCAAAATCGGTTCAGAGATTATTACTACCTACCACCTAACAAACTTTACCTCTTTATAATATAAGGGGGAGGTATTAACCCCTGAGGAGCTCGATAGCGTGGGTGGTTAGCGCATTCGGCTGCGATCGTTGAAGTTAAGCACCTTTCGCAGTGGTCGGTCATTGGATGGGTGACCAAAAATCTTCTATCTCGAGTTCCTCCGTGCTTCTCAAGTCACGTTAAGCCATTGGTCTCGGCTGCATCTGCAGTCATTAGCACCCGCCAGTCCGCTTTGGGCCCGCGTGGTGGGTCATGACCCAATTTCCCTATTCATCCATAGGAAAGGCCTGTGCTCCAGCAGTGGGGACATTAATAGGCTGATGATGATGATGATGATTAACCTCTGATAAACTATGACTAGTATGGATATAAACATCTGTTAAATTGATGGTCATCATCTCATCAAAATCTGTTTCGTAGTTTATGACGGTATAGAGAACACAGATCATTATCTAAGGCAGAGATATACTCGAAATGTGGCTTTATTATTATAGTACAAGATCCCAAGACCGCCAGACCTTACATATTTTCTCGTGGACAAAATATGGATAATTGAGTTGTATTAGTTAGTACAATGAACGTATGCATACTCGCTAACTTGTGCTGTGGGTCAATTTTTTGGCGTCAGGTGGCACAGGCACTTAAAATTTTACTCACATAAGTTACAGTCTGAGGACTATACATCTACTATGTATGTTGTAAAAATTTTATATTGAAAGCAAAAAAATACAAACTTACTTATTTTCTGTAATACTTTTGATAATAAAATTATAAGAAATTATCTAATTATTGTAAAAGGCTTTCTTCAAACTATTTATAAGATAACTTTAATGAAGCTGTATTAAAAAATAAGCTTTGGAAATTTTTCACAAGCACAAGTTAGCGTATATGTTGATTATACTCTAGTGTGCACAATTACAACAATACACGATTGTCCATATTAATCCATGAGAAAATAAGTAAGGTCTGGCAGACATGGGCTCTTACTCTATAAACTGTATAATTATTAACGATATTATACTTGTATGGCATGACAAGTACTGGAAGTGGACCTGAGTGAAAAAAAAATTGCAATATAAATAAAAATATCGAAAATTAAAAAGAACTAATTGCACTGCATGACATTATGTTCTCAAGACATGTTATTGATTTATTAGGTCATTGATAAAACAAAGCCCTCATCCGACCACTTTCATTGATCTCTTTCCCGAGAATAGGGGTGATGACGGGGTACAGTAAACGAAATTCTATTCAGTCCGTCAGTTAGATGATCAAAAAATAATGGACACGTATTTTTTCTTTGGGCAATCAACCAAAAAATGACAAAGTTATAGTGCGTCAAAGTTTGGGAGTAGGGGCTCGTGACGTCACTTTTAAGTGAAAATTATACCAAAACGTGACGTCACTTTTCAAATCAATATATCTCTGCAATGTTTATATTATGTGAAAAAACCTGATAAACGAAAAAAAAATATAGTCATCATCCCTATTCTGGTAGGGTTTTGCCAGGTGCGTTAGCATAGCAAGCTCATTCTCTCATCGTTTGCGTTGCCTTCCCCCTTTCCTTTTAACTTCCCTGGGGGAGCAGGTCGTGATAATTTTGCTATTTTTGTCCTCCTATTGTATCATCTGCCCATCTCCACTTTAGCAGTTTTGTCTTTAAAGCTACATTTCTGGTACTCTAAGCCCCTCCATGCTTCTCTTCATACTGCATTGGTATTCAACTAAGAGTCCTCAAAAAATAAAAAATGAAAAGATTAAATTGGATTACCGTCAAAACGAAATGGCACCTTACGAGTGCTCCTGCATTAACACTTCGACGTAGGTCAAGCCTCAATCGCCTTCCAGGTGTAATAATCCCGAGCAAAGAGGCCGTGCATAATTGGAAGCTCGTATTAAGTTACACGACATATTTTTAATACCTACTTGTTCGCTTGCCTCAAGCGCAATGTTGAAACTGGCTCTGTTACGCTCCAGTGCGTATGCTTCATATTAATTTTTTTCTTATTGAAAATATCATATAGCGATTCAAAAAAAAGCATGTAACTGCTAGATGCTTAAATGTAAAGAAAATTTTACTAGAAAGAAATCCACGCGGGCATGGAAATAGACGGAATGCGAACCCCCACTCTTCGCTTTCCGGGCTAATGCACTGACCATTATGGTACCGAGGCCCTGATGGGCGTGTCGAACTTTTCACTAGCCTTTCTTAGTTAAAAATAGTTTTTTAGTTTCTCAAAACTTTCTGAGTGTCCCACGTATTTAACCACTTTTAAACACAAAATTCATATTATTTTGTTAAAATCGTCGGACTTGTTTGACAAAACAATCTACTCGCCAGTACATATTTCAGATCTGTCAATAAAAAATCTTAAGTTTCATCTATGCCCGATTTAGCATTGTAATTTTTTATGTGTGAGTGTCGTAATTACAATTTTTTTTTGCGAAACTATGTTGGACTGCATTTGTGTGCATATCCCTCCCCCCGCAAAAAGCGGCAGAATGAAAAAATTGTTTATATCCAGATGTCATTTGTTTTTCAGAAACCTTTGTAAAGAGAGGGGATGAAAAAAATATAAATATTAATAATTATCAACTTGCATCACATTTCTCAAGAAAAAATAAAAGGGGAGGGACTTGTATTTTAGTCAAAAATGGAATATCATTTAAAAAAAATACCACATTTAATGATATTACACTAAATTTTCATTTTAAGTCCTGTGCTCTTGATATTCCTGTTATCATTGTTTGCGTGTACCGGTCATCAACTGCTACGAAACGGAGACACTATGAATGCTTTTTTGACAAATTTGAAACTTTGCTATATAATTTTCTACGTAAATATAATAAAAAAAGACTAATAATATTGGGTTACATTAATATAAATACTCTAATTGAAAATAAATCAACTAAACAACTCACAGATATTCTAAAAAATTACAACTTAAAACAACACATAACTCAACCAACTAGAAGCCGTTCGTGCCTTGACCACATATTCAGTAACGTTGCAGGAGCCTCTGGTTCTCTACTCCCGCTCTGCCTCTCTGATCATGATACGGCCCAGATACTTACGTTCAATAGCAGAATCAAATCAAAAATAGACAAAGCAATGTTCACTTTCAAAAGATGCTACTCACAGGAAAATATTGAAAAATTCCAGGGTTACTTAAAAAGTTTATCCTTCTCTGAAGTTGACAAGGAAAAAGACCCCCAAACCGCCTTCAATATATTTTATGAATGGTTTTGTCTGCTATACAAACTGTGCTTTCCCATTATTAAAATAAAAATTAATACCAAGAGAAATCTGTCGTGGATAACAAAAGGACTCAGGAAGAGCTGTCTCACAAATAAAAAACTAAGACTTAAACATTTTACGAAATTAAATAGCAATAATAAATTTAAATAAAAAAAATATTCAAAATTGCTAAAAACGTGCATCCTTATGGCTAAAAAATCAACAAATAATAAATATATATTAAAAAGCAAAAATGTATGTAGGGCAACTTGGAATGTAATAAAAAACGAAACTGGTCTTGAGTCGTGTTACAACAATTTTATAGACAGAATTAAACACAATGACACAATTATTGAGGATCCAAAAAAAATAGCTTCTATTTTTAATGACTTCTTCATTACATTGACAGATAAGAATTCAAATAATAATGATAATTCCAATAATTATTATAATACAAATAATCCTAATAAAAAAAAATGGGTGCGTGTACTTATGTAGGCGCGTGAGAAGTTATCCTTCTTTGGCATCGTTTAAAATTAGTTTTTAATTGCATGCAGATAATTAATTACAATAAATTAATAAAAAGTCTGGAAAAGGACGAAGTCAATAAAGTTCAGTTTTAATTTGAAAAAATAAATAAATAATCAAAATATTCAATTAAAATCGCTACTGAATATAATTTATTAGAACATATGTGATTTGCACTTGTATGAAACTCAAACACGTATTCCGAATATACAAACTAGAAACATGTGGATAAATATTATAAATATGAATACCTATAACTGTTACTTTATTACAATAATAACATAAAAGTAACATTGAAAAATAAAGATGTGGTTTTTGGTTCTACTACACCAATGGTCAAGAGATGGCGCTGTAGTCTCCTGAATCGCGCTTTGGTTCCGTTGTTCCAGATTAATAAATACTTTTGATAGGCCTTCACAATGCAGTCGTTAGCACCCACTAAATAGAGATTCTATTTCTATTTTGTTGGTAGATTTTCTTAATGTGCGGTAAACACAAAAGTAACGCATGAAGTTGGTCGCTAAAGCGACCAACTTCATGCTGTTAAAATTTTGTGTTACAGTGATGCGCGCGCATCTTAAAATTTCACTCTCATCATT